TTAGGGGGTGGGGCGCACACCGATCGAAATGTGGGATGTAGTCGTGCTGTTTAGCTTTGGAGTTCTGTCAGCAGCATCACAGGTAGCCATATGACGAAACCGACGAAACGGAGAAGAGTGGGGAAGGCTATTTCTGGCCTATTTGACGCCATAAGCCGGCTTTATACAACCCGAGGTTCGGACAAGCGTCCTGATGGTTAAGCAGTTTAATGAAATAACGTGGACTCACAGAAACCATCTCAATTTGTGAAATTAATAGCTTGATATTCACATCCGCAGTTTGTACACGAAAACCCACAAGAAGACGTTGGGTGACCCGCCGAGTAGCCATTTGCGTCATGCAGCAGAAGACACGCCAAGAAAACACAAGTCTAGGCGCTTAGTCAGTATTTTTGGCGGAAATATGGTAAAAATCCCGTAACACCTGTGTGTGCCGAATTCCCAGTGAAAAAATGAATCCGTACAGACTGCACAGTGTTAAAAATGGTCATAAAAGAAGAATTTTGTCGTGCCTGATGTACGTTGATAAAATATAAAGTCCGCAAATAGAAAAAAAATTTGTCAGTGTAAGGGAAAAACGATGCGCAATTTCAAGTACAAAAATAAGTGGATATGTATGAGGTCTCAGTTAGCAGGTAGGGGACGTGAAATTTAATCGATGGTTGACATGGCAACTGGCAAATGAAAACTTAAGAGGAAGAATTGGAAGAACAGATAAACACAAAGATGAGAATAGGCAAAAAATGATAGCCTGACGCCAACGTACGCTACAGATGTTAAACAAATATTAGGGACGCTAAAGTAAGATGAGCAAAATCTCGATAGTCCATCTACCGAAATCTTCCAGAGGTGGGAGTATTCTTTCTCTCGATCTGAAATGCAGAGGGAAGGGCCGAATGTAAAATATATTCCGGTGACGAATAATTTCGAAACTGCAGCTGGCATGACATAAAGGTGCCTTCCGTGCTCAGCCATGCTTCACTCGCTCGGATGGATTTATCCTGCCAGTAGTCAATAATCCAAGCTGCTCCCCTTAGAGAGTCGTGATTGACCGAAATTGCGGTAGATGCAATTTGAAAAGGACAATCAGGGATGGCCTCTTTGTCCGCCTATTGTGGACCGGGCGATGTACTCGTTCAAGCCGGTATGAGATCAGCCTTAATGGTTGATCAGCCATACGCTCTGGCTTATGGTTTGCTACAGTCCTAATTAAAAAAGGCTCAGGTTCGACGAAACAGCGCCAACTCTCTTGGGTAGCAAGTGGATACATACAATCACTCGAAATAGTAAGTTTCCGAAAAAATGTTATTCAGAGATTTACCCTATCCACTGGAAATGTCGAGCTGTGCTCCTGCGCGTCCCTATAAAGAAATTTCTGTTGTATAATCGTTATTTGGCTTTTATTATCTGAAATTATTTTAACGGGTCGCACCTGGAAAATTTTTAAAGGCGTTTGCCGTAGAACTGGCAGAACCCCTGTTTTCTCTTTACCCCCCCCCCCCCGGATGCAAGCAGACTGTCCCTCCCCCCTCCAAGAAGAAGACTGTGTGAATTTCACCGATACATAAAAGTGAGTCCTGCTTCCGTAAACAACTACCGACCAGTAAACCTCACCTCCATATGTTGCAAAACTATGGATCGAATTACAAAAACAGAAACTGATACAGTTTTTAGAGCAACATCGTCTTCTTTTTGATGCTCAGCATGGATTCCGCAGAAGGTCCTGCTTGGCCAATTTGCTCTATTGTCTAGAATGCTGCACCCGAGCGATTGGAGGAAGTATGATGCACACAGCCCACATTGACTTCAAGGTCCTCGATAGTGTGCCCAACCAACGTCTCCTATAAAAGTTCAGTCGGACACGGGTAAGGAACAAACTTTCGGAGTGGATCGAAGACTTCTTGATTGGTCGATTTCAGACTGTTCATCTTGGTGACCAGCGATCGGCGGCGTCGGTTGAGTATAAAGTTCCTCAGAACTCCGTTCGCGACCCTTTTTATCTTCCTCATGAATATTGCTGCCTACATCCGTGGGTAAGACTGTGAGGTCCCCATGCTTTCCGAAGACATAAAGTTTCGGAACGTCATCCGCTACGATGATGATGGAGCAAATCTACAGGCAGACTTAGAAGGAACCGAGCAATGGTCAAATCACTAACTCCTCCCGTTCAAAGTTGCCGAATGAAACATCCTGCAATCGAGAGCACCAGCTCTGAACCACACACTGCTACCAGAGGTAGAGGCTCAGAAGTATCAAGGTGCGTGGATCACGACCTTACCAAAGTCATTATTTCACTGCTAAATCTGCAATGCCAAGCTGGTATTTCATCAAGTGGGCATTTGCGAAGTAAGACGACATGTGCCCTGCAAACGTCTTTGGGGAATTCGTACGACGACATTTGGGATTTGCCATTCAGGCTTAGAAACCATGGATTGTCAAAGACTGCAGCAGCCTTTAAAAAGTCCAACGACGAGCATCCAAGCTTGCCAGATTCCAAAGCAACCTGTCTTATGAAACTTGACTGACCAACCTTGACCTTTTTCCCCTAGACTACAGGAAGCTGCATGACGACTTAATTTAAGCGTTTCGCATGTTGCGAAGTCAGTACTGTTGCATCGCTTCCGGCGACTTCATTGGGTCAGCAATAACTGTTATTTGAGAGGACATCCTCGCAACCTACATGACTGAGGAAAAATAGACGCAAAAAGACTTTTTTCAGCCACAGATTGATTAAGTCTGCGAATGCTCTGCCTGTTGACGTTGCCACGTTCCCGTCCGTCGAAAGCCTTGAAAGGAAGCTTGACCAGTCCAGGGATTTGTACCACCACGGAATCAGAAGTTACCAAATTTCTCCTCTTGTATCCTTGTCCAACAAAATATTGCGCTACTTAGTATACTTCTCCCCATGTTTCACTAACATTACTGCTGTTTCGTTAAATACTCCCATCAGACAACGCGTAGCCGGATGAATCATGATTGAAGTTTGCGTTCGTTTCCAGGCTACTCGACTTATTTCGGTAACGCGCTTTGGGGATTCCAAAATTTTGACGCACCACCTATTAGCATTTACTAGACAGTTGCGGGCTCGTTGCATGTAGATATTTGGCCATTCATCTAGCGTATTTGTTTTTTGCGAAGTTAATGTAACCAAAAGGGTGTTCAGCGGCGTTCGACTACCTTCTCGTAACAAAACTTAACTGAACTGTAACTGGTTGCGCTTTGCCTGGTCAGAAGGCTATTTGGAAGATTTAAAAAGCCCCCATCCGGTAGGACGGCACCGGCTTATTGGCGAAAAGGTTGCCACGGAATATGAAGGCGCAGGCTTTCATTAATAAACCATACGGTTATACGATCGCCAAGACCTGGTCGTATCATGGATTGCCGGGCGGTGGTTGGCTGACAGTACGAACGTGGCTACCTTGGAACAATGCAGTGACGGTTTTAGAGAAGACGCGACTCAAAACACCTAAGTATTTCTGGGCGTCCACCTCCTGCGATGGTACATCATTTGGGTAATAAACTCTCCGTCTCGGAGATCGGGTCCCACCGACTTGCAAAACAGTGCACTCAATCATACTAAACAGTAAAAGCCACTCCTGTGACAATGTCTGCAGTCGCGTCAGGTCTGCCTGAATGCGCTCTTTCTTAAATTCAGTTCGGATGACGCTCCGGAGTTTAACATCACCAGTAAACATGGCGACATCACAATTCAATTCACAATCGCAGTCGTTGACGCATTTAATGAAAAAAGTAGGGTCAAAGATGTGGCCTGGAGGAACACCGCTTTCAACAGCTACCTCCGCCGACTGCCTCTCACCGACGTGGAGAATTTAAGAGCGACCGATCAAGAAGCATTGAATTCACCTCAGCAGATAACCTCTAATGCCGTTCGGCTTAATTTTTGCGGGAGCCGCTGACGTGGTGCACTTTCGAATTCTTTCTTAAAGTCGACGTAGACTGCGTGCACTGCATTGCTGACAGTGACGGCCCGGGTCCAGCGATCTAAACTATAAAGTAGGTTTGCCCCGCATGATCTGCCTTCAAGAAATCCACTCTAGGCATCGCATAGCAGATTATGCTCTTCAATGGAATTGCTTAGTGTACTGGAGTCGTTATGTAAGCAGGAGAACTTATTACTTCTGGGTGACTTTAACGCTCCCGGAATAGACTGGAAAGTTCCCTTAGCAAACGCCCCGTTCACGTCATTTGACCACAAGCTACTACAACTCTCCTTGAATGAATACCTCATTCAACACATAAAATTCGGAACAAGACTAAGAGACGGACAACGATCTAACTGTTTAGATCTCGTTTTTAGTAAAGAAGAAGGAGTCATAAGAGAAGTGAATCCCCAACCTCCCCTCGGTTTAAGCGATCATATTGCTTTTACATGCGTGTGCCCTCTCCTATCGAACCAACAACCAAAAATCAAGAGTCGCAGAAATATTTGGAAGGGTGATTTTAACGCAATGAGACGTGCTCTTTTGGAAGAAACCTGGTTAGTCAACAACGAAGATTCTGAAGAATTCTGGCAGTACTTTCGCGGGATTATAGAGATTCTAATTGACTCCCATTGTCCCATAAAAATAACAAGACCATGTGGGCGACCGCCGTGGGTCAATTCGACGACAAAAAAGGCCATGAAGAAGAAACAGAGGCTGCGGAAAAAGTATATGCAACTTCGAGATTCAGTATCACTCGCCGAATATAAGGATCAGCGCAATAAATGCCGCAAACAAATACGGATTGCCAGAACTTCTTTCGAGCGCCGACTGGTAGCAGAATCCATTACATGTCCCAAGAAGTTTTACAAGTACATCCGTAGTAGGAGAAAACATAGGGACGAAATTGCGTGTCTTAAGGATAGCCTCGGAAACTTGCTAGTCGAAGGGCGCCAGAAAGTGCAGTTACTGTCTGAGTTTTTTCAATCGGTTTTTACGGAGGAGTCCTCAGAAGACGATCAGCAGTTTGAAATGGACAGAAACAGCCGGGATTTTCAAATGCGCCAAGATACTGCCGTCATTGAAACCGTTGCCTTTTCCGTCGGAGAAGTAAGACGCGTCCTCAGTCAAATAAAACCAGACAAGTCTCCTGGACCCGACGGAATTCCTGGTCTGATACTTAAGGAGCTATCAAAGGAGCTGGCGAAGCCTCCTTCGACGCTCTTTGAGCTGTCAATGAGAACAGGAAGGCTGCCATCACAGTGGAAGACAGCTAACCTCGTTCCCTTACATAAAGGCGGTAGCAGGATGGCAGCAAGCTGTTTCAGGCCTATTAGCCTAACCTGCCTTTCGTGCAAAACGATGGAAGCTCTAGTAAAGAGTGCCATACAGCAATTTTGTGAAGAAAATAACCTCTTGCAGGATTTCCAGCATGGCTTCCGGAGAGGACGTTCTTGCCTCTCAAATCTGCTAGCTTGTCTGGAGATCTGGACCAGGGCCCTAGAAGAGGGTTTTGAAGTTGATGTCGTGTACATCGATTTTCGCAAAGCCTTCGATACTGTCCCGCACCAACGCCTTCTTCACAAATTGAGCGCCATCGGCATCCGGGGAGATCTTCTGAACTGGATAGGGGCGTTTCTGGTTGGTCGGAAACAACGTGTTTGCATCGGTGATGATATGTCAGAATGGGTGAGTGTGACCAGTGGTGTGCCTCAAGGCTCAGTTCTGGGACCATTGCTATTCCTCCTTTATGTTAATGACAGCCTTCAGGAACTCGACTGTGGCAAAATAATGTTTGCTGACGACGTTAAGCTCTGGCAAGTCATTAAGAGTCCTAACGACCAGAGATCCCTCCAAAACAATCTTCATCGACTGCAAGCGTGGTCGGAGAAATGGCTTCTAGACTTCAATGTGCAGAAGTGTGCCGTCCTCCATCTGCGTCCAACTAACTCTCATTCAAATCAGAGCCTGAGGACATATTATCTGAAAGATATAAGACTCCCCGCAGAATCTTCACAGAAGGATCTCGGGGTTTGGATACAGAACAATTTGAAACCAACATTGCAGTGCCACACGGCTGCAAAAAACGCAATGGGAGTGCTGCATGCAATCAAAAGGGCGTTCGTTACCTTTGACCAAGACCTTTTTGGGAGAGTTTACGGCGCCTTCGTTCGGCCCCACTTAGAATATGGCATACAAGCATGGCGGCCATGGCTTGTAAAGGACAAAGCATGCCTCGAACGGGTGCAACGTAGGGCAACAAAGATGGTAAACGGTCTAAAAAACCAATCCTACACGGACAGACTGAATTGCCTTAATCTATTCCCTCTGTGTTACAGGCAGCAAAGAGGTGATCTAATCCTGGTTTACAAGATAATAAATGGCCTTGAGCATGGACTTAACTTTAAGGACATGTTTCAGTGGCACCTTTCACCCAATCTTCGTGGCCACTCGATGAAGCTACGGACAACAATGTCCAGGCTGAACCTTCGTTCTGAATTTTTCACGCAGAGGGTAGTGGAGAAATGGAACGATCTCCCTCAGTCAGTCGTGGAGGCGACATCCCTGCAACTCTTCAAGAAACGCTTGGATGATTATTTGTGTCCCCTGTTTTCCCTCGACAGTCTGAATCTGAGCTAGACACCCCGGTTCCCCACATATTTTTTCTCTGTGACAATGCTACTCAAATGAATCAAGTACCATGTATATAGCGAACATTTTCGTTTTTACTGTACAGTTATTTCTAACGAGTTGACATGTTATCAATAGGGTTTTCAAAGGCTTTGCCTATCATCCTTATCAAATAAACTGAAAATAAACTGAAGGAAGAGCATTATTTCTCACCTAATTATTTTTTTCCATAATTTTGCAGCAAATTGAAGCGAGGCTGATTGGTCTGAAGTTGTTTGCCAAGACCTTGCTGCCGCCTGTATAAATTGGCGTAATCAGTGCAAACTTCCAATCAGCGGGCAAACAGCCTGCTGCGAACGAGGTTCGAAGGAGCATAGGCAGCGGTTCAGATGGTTCTCCAGCGAGCTCCTTCAAAACAGTTTGGGCGATATGTCATCCAGCCCAGGTGGTTTAGCCTCATTCAGCGTCAACAGTTCTTTGCGAACATTATCTTCGGCGGAAAAGTCAACATCAGTCGTTGGCCCGTCCACCATGTCGCAGTCGGGAGGAATGAATGCGTTTTCTTTCATACAGATTGACTTAAAGAAATTGTAAAATGTGCTCCGCCTTTTCTTAGTCCTCACTGAGCTCTTGACTTTCACTAGTTTTCAATAATGGGATTGAATCTCTGTTTCACTTGCTCCCATAGGAAGGCAATTTCCTCCATAACCTCCATTTTTTATTCATTTTTTAAAGCCTGTGTTAGCCACGGGGGCCGGCTGTTCAGAATCTTCAGTGAAAAAGGACAGTGGTCTCTGAGGAGAACGTGTAATAACTCACTAAACCAGTCCCAATCCTTGATTATGTCACCGGAAAAAGCTGATTCCCAGTTTATGGTGTTTAGTTCAGCTTTCATTTGGGCAAATTCGTCGCTCTAAATGTCCTTTCTAACACTGATGGTTTGTTCGGGCGGGAAAAATGGAGTGTAAAAATGGAGTGGCGGGAAAAATGGAGTGGAAGACGTGGTCGCTTCGACCTAGGAGAGGTGGACATTGCACCTTATCAATGCTGTCCAGCGACTCCGTAAGGACCAGCTCCAGCTTCGTCGGAAACAAGATGTACTGTTGTGATAAATAACCTGAACGTCATGTCCTGCAAACGCCAGTCGACAGTTTGGTCTGGACCAGATGCATAAGTTTAACTCCAGTCGATAAGAGGTGCATTGAAGTCTCCCATGATTAAGACTTCGGACCGGATAGAGAATCTCCCCAGGTCCTCAATCAGACGGGCGTCCGCCGTGGGATCATTTCTCGACGGTCGGTGGACAGTCAGGACGAGGAAGCTTGGTGAACCCGGTGCTTTTATAGTTAGACAAGTTACCTCACGAGTACACGTAAGTTTATTTGTTTTTTCGGAGACTATAAGCCCATGTTTTACATGCGTAAGTACGCCTTCGCCCTGACGTCCTGGTCTGTCTCTTCTAAACAACTGGTATCCCGGTATAGTTAACTCACGGTTGTCCGCCTGCTGATTCAACCGAATTTCTGTAGGTGAGATTATATCCGGGGATAGATCAGATAGATGATCTTTAGTTCGTTGGCTTTCGATAACATGCTCTGCACATTTGTATATAGAAATTCCAGCTTGCAATTTATGGCCGTCAGAGAAGTAGTCGCGATGCGTCTAGGACTTTCGCGTACTACGTCAGCTGCACAGTAATCAGGATAAGACCCGTCCAAATTCCGTTATACTTCGCTGAGTCTCTTTTTCACTTCTAGAACTAGAAGACGACGTTTCAGCCTCTTTGTTGGCGAGTAAACCGGTTGACAAAAACGACGAGGTTTGTGCCTTTTTTCTAAAGCGCCAAGACAGAATCAACCTATCTTGTTCCTTACAGGCCAGCACAACTTTAAGAGTTCGGGGGCGTGTTGGTGCTGGCTGTTTGTTTGCCCGCTTTCAAAGACGGAAGGCTTTGAGTACGTTAATTGCCTTAGTGGGTTCAAAGATATTATTGAGCCAGACTTGGAAAAGTCTTAGATCTTCCGAAACCCGCTCTTTAGAAGTGTTGGCCTTTGATTCAGGGAGCCCCTAAAAAACGAGACATTAGTGTCTGGAGATGTTGTTCATATTTTTTGCAGATGTACCACCCTCTGGGGTGTGGTGCTTTAAAGATATTAGATGGCGATTGCGGAACACATTTTATATCGCGGTTTTGATGAACGACGCCAGTTTTAACCGACTTGGAGGAGGTAGTGAATGATGCTCTGTAGACTCGATAACTGCCTCAGTACCACTATTTGCGCTGGGGCTATTCAATTCAAAAGTTTTCTGGGCGCTGCTAACTGTTTTTAGACTTTCAGCATTGACGTTGTGGACAGGGCTGTTGACGAGGTTTCTGGTTCGGGTGCTGTGGGGATATAATTTAGAAGCGGCTGTTCATTTTTTTGGTTCATTTACCATCTGATTTCGTCTTTCTTTTCTGATTTCCTCGCTGACTGCTGTCAATTTCGTTTTTTCGCTAATCGTTCTTGCGCAGTTGTATCTGTTACAACAGGCATTCCTGAAGAGCGTTTTAAGTGAGGTACTTTTGCTTTACTCCTAGTTATTCTTCCAGTAGGGACATTTGTATCGTCAGGTGTGACTAAATCATACTGTAGGAAAGCTCTTATCTGTTCAATCTCTTTCTCGAGATGGTTGACCCTGAGGGCTTACAGCTGAGCTCGCCTGTACAATCGATATAATATTGTGGGAGGGGTTGCAACCGCGTCGAGGTGGCCGAGTGGTCTGGGCCGCCGAACGACTGCGTTGGTCGCGAGATCGACCCCACGTAGAGGCGGCACCACTCCACAGTGCAGCAAAGCATAAAATCAAATATCAACGATTTCCAACCCGCGACTGAGTGGGGACACAGTGGTCGGGGTCATGAAAAGTTCGAGAAGACCTGTCGTCATATTGTACAGACAATATACAAGAAGGGGAACGTACCCCCATGCGAGCGGGTCGGAAGTGAACGCAGGATGTTTGATGAAGGCGACGGAGCTATTTGGTTCCTCGTTTGTCCATAAGCTTGAAACAGAGAATTTCGAAGGCAATTAGTTGAGCATGCCTGGACTGTTAACGGAGAAAGAGAACGCATATAGGGAGTTTACATTAAGATGCTAAATTCAAATGCTTGCTTGAACATTCACTCTAGGGTTCTCTTTAACTTCAGAAAGTACACCCAATCGCCATCCCTTCTCCATACGCATGACCGTATACTTACCTACCGGGGGAATACGTGCACTTTAAAGGGTACGTCGTGGCAAGTAATGGTCAATGCCCTGTGACAGACTTCCGTATTTGATGGCAGACGAGCTACGCAAGTTTAAACGCAATCGGCCCAATATTTTAAAATAGTGGAGATGCCCGGCGACGACGTTGAGTGCGTGGCGAGGCCATCGACCATTGCACAGCGCGTCCGGTCCAACAGGTGGACGCGGTTGGGAACGCGGCCATAGTTGACCCAGATGTGTGAGACTAGGAGGGCAGACGGCTCAGTGCGAGCCCTGGAGATCACTGCAAGAACAGGTTTGAGATCGGATCGACCTCTTACCCGGGAAAGTTTGTGTGCGCCGTAAGGTATAGCCTGTCAGACCCAAGGACGGATGGACGCACGCATCTGCGCGTACCCATGCCTCGACGGGTGTCCACGAGTACGTCCGAGTTTGCATGAAGGCCTTTCAGTCACCTCTGTAAACGCACTACCACATCGCTGAGACGTGGATCGATGTGGGGCAACCCTTAACACCAAGTTCAGAGCTCCACCAAGCGGTTGATCCGCGGCTAAAAACCCCGGTTACTGGCCCGGCGCTTGCCCACGTGGCCATAGTACAGGGTTTGGAGTCGGATAATCTTGGAACATGCTGTAGGTAAAGTATGGACGCCTGGGCCTCTGAGAGTGCGTTCCCAGACAGCTGAGGCCTCTCGTAGCATTATTCTCTAAATAAAATTTGAAGTCAGCGGTCACTCGACTCCTCAGTGGCGTCCGAGCATCAGGCATTTGCAAGCCACATTGAGATACACGACTAAAGCACTCTACTCATGGACACATCTCATGGAATTTGAATAACTACTTAAGTCTACGTATTTCTAACTGTTCCTGAAATAATTTGTCCACATGTGCAATTGTGGACGAATGAGACGCTGAATGACTTAAGAATTTAATGACGTGTGCAGTCGGAACCGTCAAGTCGGGAACTGACCAACACCTCACTACACGCCGGAAATTTTTCCTCACTTTGGAAGGTCACCTTGTTTTTTGGTGGTTCTGTGTACTTCGGCTCTCACTGTAACTATTGAAAATTCAAGGGAATCGGGTTTATCTAGCAAGTCCACAATCCGTCTCTGAAAGAAAAGCAGAGAGGAGGAAGAGGGGGAGAACGCGAATCCAAGAAAAAGCATTACATCTTTCGTTTGACGTACCCCATGCGGGCGGGTCGGAAGCGAACGCTGGGTGTTTACTGAAGGCGGCGAAGCTGTACGGCACCCCGTTTGTCCAGAAGCTTAAATTGGAAAAATTCAAAGGCATTTAGTCAAGCATACCTGGAATCCTGATAGAAAAGTAGAACGCCTATAGTTTAAACAAGGCGTTTACAATAAGATTATTTATTCAACGGTAAAAGGGAATAGTTTCCAGTTATTTATACCAAGTACAGCAGGCGATGTAGGAAATCCGAATCACAAGTGGTCATTATGCAACCACCTATGAAGGACTCTACATTGAGTTCCAAGGAGGAACTGCAGGTACACGCCCCGTGATCAGATGAGTCTGTGGCCCGGTCGTAGAACGCTAGACGTAACCATCACTGACGAAAATTCTGGGTCTAAATATCTCAGGTCATTACGACCCATTACTTGTACTTCGTACAGCTGCGATCATGCCTGATCTAACCCGTCTTGATGATGTTCAAACTGATTCTCTCCACGCGTGACGTTTCGCGGAAGCAGATCTGGGCAGTTCAACGCATTGCAAGCGAAGATGCGAGTTCCAGGAACTAGGTGATCAGAAGAAGAAGAAGAAGAAGAAGAAGAAGAAGAAGAAGAAGAAGAAGAAGAAGAAGAAGAAGCGATCGCTGGAACAAGGGGTTTTTTAGTTTTAGTTTCAGTTTATTAAGAGAAATATAGGCGAGCGCCTTTGAACTCCCTATTAGTAACAAGTCGTAGGGGAAAAACATTGATAGTGGGAAGGTGAAAAGGGGGTTTTGTACGTAATTGCTGACAGCTAGTCAAAAAGAGTAATCAATAACGGTTACTAACTAGTCACAAGTAGTATAAACAAGTTTAAGTTGGTGCCAGGTTATGTCAGTGGATGTAAGGCTGGTAACTGGGAGGCTTGATGCGCGTCAAGCCTACACTTGAAGGAATTCACACAGGAGGAGGTTACAACATCTGTAGGCAGGGCGTTCCACGCTGTAACCACTCTGTTACTGAAAAAGAACTTTTTTCCATTGATCCTTGCTTTCCCGGCGAGTAGTTTTAACGGATGACCGCGCAAAGTGGGCGTGTTAGCTTGTGTGAAATAATCAGTGGGATCTAGACAACAGTCTAGGCCGTTGATAATGAGAAATGCAAGTATAAGGTCAACGCGTAATTGCCTGCAGGAAAGTAAAAACAGGTTGAGAGTTGACAGTCGGGATTCGTAAGACAGCGCTCCCAGACCTTGTGTCATTTTGGTCGCCCGTCTGTGGACCTTCTCCAAAACGGTATAGTCCTTGACAGTCCAAGGTCTCCACGCCTGTATGGCGTATTCTAGACGAGGCCTCACGTAGGTGCCAAATATTTTTGAAAAGCTGTCTGGGTCAAATACCATAAATGCTCGCTTAATGAGTTACAGTGTAGCCATAGCCGATTCAGCCGGCTTCGCACAGTGCAGAGTTGGTTTGAGTGAAGATGTAATCCATACACCCAAGTCCTTCTGACTGTTTATCCGCGTTATGACTCACAAGCCGCGCGAAATACTCCCAAAGGTCGAACGAGATGAACTAAGATAACTGAAGGCCGACAAGGACATCGTCATCGTGCCCGCGGACAAGGCATGTTCCACCGTCGTAATGGACAGAACAGACTACCTTCAAAAGGCCAAAAACCTACTGGAGGATCGCCAGTTTTATGTCCCGTGTGAAAACAACCCCGTAAAGACGCTGCCAAGCGAAATTAATGCGACAATGTTGGCACTGGAGAACTCGGGTGCAATAACACCGACCGACCGACGCATAGCGAGAGCCCAAGAAACGGCCTTGGCCCGATTCAACGGTCTCTCAAAGGTGCACAAGGAGGGCGCTCCTCTCCGGACCATCGTATCGCTCAAAGGCATTCCAACGTACGGACTGGCAAAATGGCTGTTTCGACGCCTCAAATTTCTGACCGCTAATTCGGACACCACCAACTGTTCGTCAATACTATTCCTGGAGAAGCTTAAAGGAGTAAGTCTCTTGCCAGATGAGGTCATGGTATTTTTCGATGTCACGTCCCTCTTTACTTCTATCTCCCAGGAGCTGACAATCGAGACCGACAAGCTACTCCTACGAAGGAAATACAATGAAACGGAGAATCGTCTCTGACTTGCCCAAGTCCTTCAGCTCCTAAAGTTCTGTCTCAGGACCTACTTTACGTTTGACAAGACAATCTACGACCAAGTGAAGGGAAAACCAATGGGCTCGCCGATTTCGGGATTCATCGCCAAGGCGGTCCTACAGAGGTTAGATTCGCTAGTCTTCCAACAGCACAGACCGAAATTCTGGGCTCGGTATGTGGACGATACCTTCGTCGTCATCGAAAGGGATCAGGGGGTAACGTTCAAATAACGTCTCAACAGCGTCTTCCCGGACATACAATTTACGACGGAGGAGGAAGCAAATAGCCAGCTGGCATTCCTTGATGTCCTTGATTGGGGTGGCCTAAAGACCAAAGTGTTCAGAAAAGCGACGAAAACGACGCAAATACTGGACTTGAACGGTAACCACCCAATTAGCCACAAACGCAGTTGCGTAAGAACGCCATATCGGCGTGCTGAGACGTATTGCAGTGAACCGGAAGACAAGGTTACCGAATCCCAATATCTTCGACGGGTTTTTTTCGAGAAAATGGTTACCCGCGCAACTTCATCACCCGGTGCAAGCGCAAACGAGATGAGCGAAAAAATAGTGCCGACCCCAAATTCTTGCGAGCGATCCTGTACATCAAGAACGTCTCCGAGGCCGTTAGTAGCCTTCTTGCATCACTTGGGGTTGGAGTTGCACACAGATCAGAGGCCACCATAAGGCGTCAGGTGATGAGATCAAAAGACTCACTGCCACGGCAAAAAAACATCTGGAGTCCTTTACTGGATCTGGTGCAGTTGCGGACGAAGCAACTACATGGGAGAAACCGGAAGACTGCTCCGGACGCGAATCGACGATCACGAGGCAGTGGTATGAAGGAATGACGCCAACTCTCAGGTCACGGCCCATTAGACGAGTCCCTGCCACACATTCAAGTTCGATGAGGCCGAAATTCTCGAGAGGGGATAATCGCGTGAGCCGAAGGTTGCCTGAATCATGGTTCACGCGACATCAGTCTATCAACAAGTGCAACGAAATCCCCACTCCATATTCCGTGCTGAGGCATAGGCTGGCCAAAGCAATTGACCACTCGGGGAGAGCGCAAGCCGGTGAGCCAGAGGGCCGAGCAATCATCAGGCCAGCATCTAACACGGGTGATGAGACTTCAGCAATTAACAGCTTTCATGACGGTCATCAATCAATTAGCGCACCAGCGGACAACAATCCTTGATGAATGGGGCACGGTTATTTGCAATAGGTATACGGTAGCATAGCGACTGCATCCTATAAATACTGCAACTTCCTGTGCACGAGTCACCCTTTTCTGCCACTGTCTCTGATGATGGATTTAAATGAAAATCTGAAACGTCAGGCGAATAAACCCCTTGTTCCAGCGACCGCTTCATCTTCAGTTCAACCCATTTTCTTCGCCAGCGACGGAGACCCAGCACCGAAGATCCAAGAACCACTTCCATGTCTTGACGAACTGTGTTGAGCCACATTTTGAGTTGACTCCCTCTTCGATGCCTCCAATGGGTCAACGGTGTCGATCTAGGGCAGTAACCGTTAGCACCTGAGGTGGACGAAGATGAACATGCCCAAACCACCACAGTCGTCTTTCTTGGGTGGTCTGGGTTATCTCTTCTATGTTGTCGCCGCGAGCACAGTCTGTCCAGTTTGAGACGACGTCAGTGTACTTCACTCATAGGATGGTCCGCAAGCAATGCTGGTCAGATACCTCCAATTTTCGCTCGTTCGCCACGCGCACAGCCCAGCATTCACAACCGTAGAGGAATGCAGGGCTGTACGCGTGAAATATGTCCGATTACAGTAATTATGATTTAGGGTTGAAGATGAATGGCTGATTGAAGACAGATAATAAACCAGATACGTGTACCTCAGTCTCCCTGAACTATACCACTGACAATTCTACGCGAAAATTCGCATTGTTTTGAGTCCCACGATAGATCCCATACGCGGAGGCTCGCAGATCGGAGACCAACGAGCGACCCAGTCTCTAACATTTAACGCTCGATAGAATATCCTCGTTCCACCCTGGGGTCGAAATGGATTTCACTAATGCCACGTTGATTGGGTGGCGCGGACATCAGCCATAGCACACCGCGTCCGGTTTGACAGGTGTACGCGGCAAAGAACCCGGCCTCATCTGACCCAGATGTTGGAGACGCGTTAACCAATGAACTTACTGTGGGTGGCGGGGTTAGGTCGTCAGACCCGTGCACGGACGGACGGACGCACGCATCTGCGCGTACCCATGCCCCAAGGGGGTGTCCGCGAGCACGTCTGCATTTGCAAGCATACGTTTTAGGCCTCTCAACAAATGGACTACCGCATCGCTGAGACGTGGCTCGATGAAAGGGACAGTCTTCGCCACCAAGGTCAAAGCCCCACCAAGTAGTTGGCCCGTGGTTAATAGCCCGACTACTACTGGCCGGGTTCTTGCCGAGATGACCACAGTACACAGCTTTGAGGGTGCCCACCGGATGGGTCAGAGACCTGGAGCTCTGAGGGTGGCTCCTGAGAGAGCTGTGGCCTCCTGTAGCATTATTTCCTAAGCTATCTTCAACGCCAACGGTCACCCGATTCCCCAAAGGCATCTGAGCGTCGGGCATTTGCAAGCCGGATTGATGTGGACGACTAGAGCACTATGCTGATGGCCGTTCCTCACGAAGTGTGAACAACTACTTATATCTAAACATTCTTGACTGTTCCTGAAATGATATGTTCACATCTGCAATTATAAATGGGTAAGACCATGGAAGACTGAAAAGTTGAATGACACGTGCCACTGAAACCGTCAATTCGGGGACCTAGCAACATCTCATTACCAGCTAGCAAATTCTTCCCGGCATTTTACGGTTCTTTATACTGAAAAACTTAGACTACTGCTGAGCCTATAGCCTTCGGTGTTTTTCCTCTGCATTTAAACGACCCCACGGAACTCCTGTTCAGCCGAGTAGTTCAGGTAGCATGAGTCTAGTCTGGTCTTCATTACCTGTTAAGGGCCGTCTCACAGAACCTGCTCTCGCTATAGTCATCGGACGACATAAAACAGTTAAGGCATACTTTCCTCCAGAGGTGGGATCTACGCAACTGCTTTACCTTTATGCAAGTCAGTTTTTCGTGGCCAGTCAACAGTTCTTCTCTGGGAGAAAAATGGGAGGAGGGGGGAAGAGGAGGGGTAGGAAGGAGGAGGACGCGAATCTAAGAAAAATAATTCCATCTCTCGTTCCACGTTATTAAGACGTGATAACGTAAGAACTAGTAACGGCTAATGAGATCCTACTGCTAGTTTTGGAATTTTTCAAACGACTGACATGCTAAAATGAGTTGTGTTTATTGACTGAAACGCCCAAAGAAATCTTTTACAAGTCTGTGAATAGATCATGTGGGGCGAAGTTTGGTTCTGCAGCGCCAAACGAATGACAGTCAATGGTTTGCTTCCTAAAACAATACTAGTTAACATACCTAACTTCGCTACTCCCTGGATAAGCAAGAGTAAGAGAGCGCAATCAGAACTCGAAGCACGCGCAGGGAAGCGAGTGAAGGTGGTGTGTACACATTCCAGCACCACCACTCGCTGAACTGAGTTGAAAATGATGACGCAATCACAACTGAAAGCCAACGGACGGAAGCGCGTAGCAATTCGTAGTACATGGTCACTGTTGTGGAAATGACAGAGTTCCACACAGTCCGAACAACCCCATTAGATCAGGATAGTAAAGAGGGCGGAAGATGAGCTCGAAGCACGCGCAGGGAAGCGCGTGTGAACGGATACCTGAAGTAATCAAGGCTAGCGTATAAACAATCATTCCCCGTGACAAAGTCACTGGCTGGACTAAAACTGTAGGGATGATGCAACTACGGGATATTTGTAGAGTCCGAGTATTTGCATCCACTAATTTTTTGGAAAGTTAACTAAATGGTATCAGTTAGGTGGGGCTGTAAAACCAAACGTCGACTCCTGTGGGACTACAAATGTGTAAAGGTGGATCCAGACAAACTACAACCGGGCAGAACTGATGAGATTATGGTTCTGAGGGGGTCGTTCCTTCATTTCTGGATTGCTGACTTCAAAGAGGGAAGCATAGCACGGACGAATAAAGGCAGCTGTCATGTGCCACGTATACAGCTCTTAGTGAGTTGAGAATAAATCCACTGGGGACCAGCATCTAAAGGTCACCTAGGCGTCATTAGCACGCTCATGGTGACCAGCCTCACTGTACAGTGGCAGGCCGTCCGCCTGTACCGTCTGTGTGCCTTATCCTCCCACTAGCTTGCAGCAAAAGACTGGTTTTAACACCCAGTGCCTAGAAGAGAGATGCAAAAAGCAGGCACAGACAGCAGCACAATCATCCGCAGCAACCTACAGTGCAATAAAAGCATTTAAGCAAATATCATAATTTCTCCATTTGTCAAGACAGTGACTTTTAACCTGTGATTATGTTTTATGAAATCGACAGATCTATTGGCCGAGGTACCCCTGTGAGTAAAAGGCATTTTAGGCATTTAAAAGGAATGTGCAGACAATATACAAGACGAGCGACGTACCCCCATGTTGGCGGGTCCGCGTTGGACGCGGGGTGTTTAATGAAGGCGGCGAAGTAAGACAGCTCGTCGCTCGTCCAGAAACTTTAGGTGGGAAAACGTATGATTAGGCACGCCTCTAGTTTTAACAAGGGATTTACAGTACGATACTTCATTCGAAGTTACCGGAGAGTAGGTTTCGGCTACTTATCCTGACTGTAGAAGGTGAAACAGAAAACCAGGATCATTAGTGACCGCTATGCAACCGGGTCAGATGTGGTTATGTTGCCGCACCTGAGGTACACAAACCACAGCTGCCTGTAATTCGGGTCCGGTGGTTTTTCAGTTTATTTGGTAAGAGATAATAGGCAAGGTCTTTGAAAACCCTACTGATGACATGTCAGCGCATTAGGTACAACTGTACGCGAACAATTAAAACTTTCGCTACTAAAACAGCACTTGATTTATTTGAGTAGCATCGCTTCAAAGGAAAAATTCCCCGGGGGTCGCAGGACATATAGCTCACGTTCCGACTGTCGAGGGAAAACAGAGGATACAAATAATCACCCAACCGCTTTGAAGAAATGCAGAGACGTCGCCTCCACGCCCGACTGAGGGAGGTCGTTCCGTTTCACCATTACCGTCTGCGTGAAAAATTTAGAAAAGGGATTCAGCCTGGACATTTTTGTCCGTAGCTTCATCGAGTGACCACGAAGATTGGGTGTAAGGTGCGAATGAAACATTTCCTCAAGGCCAAGTCCATGGTCAAAGCCATGTTATATCTTGTGGACAAGGATAAGATCACCTCTTTGCTGCCTGTAACACAGACGGCATAAATTAAGGGAAGTCAGTCTCTCTTTGTAGGATTGGCTTTTTAAACCGTTCACCAGCCTTGTTGCACGACGTTGTACTCCTTCAAAGCATGTTTGGTTCATTACTAGCCATGGCCACCACGCTTGTATGCCATATTTTAAATTGGCCCGGACGAAGGTGACGTAAACTCCTCCAAAGCGGTACTTGCCAAAGGTTACGAACGATATTTTGATTGCATGGAGCACTCCTATGGCTTTTATGCAGCCCTGTTGCAACGCAGTGTTGGTTTCATGTCGTGCTGTATCCAAACACCGAGATCTCTCTGTAAAGTTACTGTGGGAAGCCTAATGTCTTTAAGGTGATATTTCCTCAGGTTCTCAGTTGAATAACAGTTGTTTGGACGCGGATGAAGGATGACACACTTCTACACATTAAAATCTAGAAGCCATTTCTCTGACCACATTTGCAATCGGTCCAAATTGTTTTAAAGCGTTCTCCGGTCATTTGGACTGCTAATGACTTGCCAGAACTTAACGTCGTCGGCAAGAATTATTTTACCTCAGTCGAGTTCCTGAAGGTTGTCATTTACATAAAGGATAAAAAAGTAAAGGGTCCTAGAACTGTGCCTTGAGACACGCAACTAGTCACGTTCAACCAGTCTGACTTATTATCTCCGATACAGACATGTTGTTTCCGACCAACCACAAACGCCCTTATCCAATTCGGAGGATCTCCACGGATGCCCATGGCGCTCAATTTGCGAAGAAGGCGTTGGTTCTGGACAGTGTCGAATACTTTGCGGAAATCGATGTACACGAAGTCGACTTCAAAACCCTCCTCTAAAGCCCTAGTCCAGATCTTCAGACAAGACAGTAGATTTGAGAGGCAGGAACGTCCTATCCGGAAAACATGTTGAAAATCCTGCAAGATGCTATTTTCTTCACAAAATTTCGGTATAACACTCTTTACTAGAGTTCCCATCGTTTTACATGAGGCCAGTTAAGCTTATGGGCCTGAAGCTGCTTACTGCATCCTGCTACCTCCCTCGTGTATGGGAACGAGGTTAGCTGCTTTCCACTGTGAGGGCAGCCTTCCTGTTTTCATTGACAGCTCAAAGAGAGTCAAAAGTAGCTTTGACAGTTCTGTTGATAGCTCCTTAAATATCAGCCTAGGAATCCCGTCGGGTCCAGGAGAAGTATCTGGTTTTATTTAACTGAGGAAACGTCTTTCTTCTACGACGGAAAAGGCAACGGTTTAAATGACGGCAGTATCTTGGCGCATTTGAAGTTCCCGTTCGTCTTGGCCCATTTTAAACTCCCGATTGTCTTCAAGCGACCCCTCCGTAAAAACCGATTGAAAAAAGTAAGATAGTAGTTGCACTTTCTGTGGCCCTTCAACTAAAAAGTATCCAAGGCCACCATTTAGACGTGCGATTTCGGCCTATGTTGTCTCCTGCTGTGGATGTACACATAAAACTTCTTCGGACATGAAATGAATTCTGCTATCAGTCGGCACTCGAAAGAAGTTCTAGCAAACCTTATTTATTTGCGGCATCCATTGATAATAGGCATTTATACAGGCGGGGCCGGGGAGCACACAGGCGACGAGGTCCAGTATTTATATACAACAGGAAGGCTACTGCGAATGAGCGGTTGCACTTTGAGCAGTTGAGAAATTGGTGTCCTAACCCCTAACCCCAACCCCTGACCCCTAAAATTACTGTATCCATCAGTTGCGGCTACATAACCACATCTTACCCACAACCGCCTGCGAGTGGGCTCTAAATTGAGCTCCAACAACACCAATGAGGGACTCCAAGGAGCTGCATGAGCACCAATCGGACCAGGTAGAAATAAAGAATGGTAAAAAAATAGTGTTTACACCAAAGAGACCGTCGGGAATTGCAAGTCACTTATTATCAGACATTTTTTAAAATTTTATCGAGCACATATGCTGTTCGTTGCTTAAGTACTTATTTCCTGCTCTCTGCCTCTGTCCACCTATATTACGGACTTGCTCGGTCCCCAAAGCAAAGGTCCAAAACCTGTATATGTTATATCATTTGTACATTTCCCATGAACTCACCAAGTATTCTTTTTGGGAGTGAACCGACAGCAAAGTCATGAACTAGTGCGACCGCTCGTGTCTGCCCGCGTCGGCGATGTTCCATTTGACGCAGTTAATGTCTTCGTCATACTCATCGCAGGTTATGGCTCAAAAGACGACTCGCATCTCACTAGCGCAATTGCAGGGGATTATGTCAGCGTTGGGCTTCCAGAGTTTCTGGCCCACATACTAATTTGGGGTTGGTTGTCACTTTGCGGCCTCCCGTCAAACCACGATACTTGTGGCAACAGAACTGTTTCCAACTATACATTCACGCGGTTGTCACCCCTTGCGGGAATTTCTGCCTCGTCAAATTTGAATGTGTGGCGGAACTCGTCGAACGAGCCGCAACTTGAGAGTTAACGTCATTTCTCCACAGCGCTGCAGCGTATTCGGCCATTCTCGTTCGGAGCTGTCTTCGGACTCACACCGGGATCTACTTGAATTATGGTTTACTGGCCCCCAGTCCGTCAGCAAGTGCAATGACCTTCCCCTTCCATACTCGGTGCTGAGACTCCGCCTAGGCGGACTAATTAGCCACGCATGGAGCGCACAGGTGAACACTTTTCCCAACACCAGGGTCGGTGCGTCAGATGGTCGAGCAATCATCACACCAACATCCAACGCACGTGATGAAATTGCAGCAATTAGGGACGCGAATGTCGGCCATCGAACAGTTCGCACACCAAGTGCGACTATGACGGATGAAGGGGGGAGCCGTGAATGTTCATACATATGCGGTAGTATGGCGACTGCATCCTACAAATACTGCAACCCCTTGTGCATGAAGCACCCGTATCGGCTGTTGTCTTTGATGATGGGTTCGAGCAGGAATCCGAAACGTCAGACTAATATAGCTCATGTCCCAGCGATCGTGCCTCCTTCAAGACTACTTCCTGGGACTCGACTCTTCGCTTCTATTGACTTGCAGAATCAGAGTATCAGACTGCGAAACGTGTGCACACTCATCCACTTCGCCTCTGACGTCCCAGGAAGTCGGTCTGACACTCCTAGGTCACATATAATATTCCGTCCGTCATAACGGTATTGCATTTCAGTGTCTCATATCCACATCCCGCTTACTACCGCCATTCTGAATATCCCTGTGGTTTTTAGTTGACAACGGAGATTAGAACAAACGTTTATGACGATGCTGATCTTCAAACTGACCAACGCGATTTTATTGCGAAAACCGTATGGGTTGCGTTATTTGTTGCACGGCTGCCGAGAACAGCCTCGTTGGACAGGGACGCAGCGGACTATTGGAGTTGCGACCACCAAAAACAACCGATGGGGTTACGATCGTCAGCAACGGGATGTTGGAACCTCGTTCGCTTTTTTAATGCATCCCTTCATAAAGGGAAAAATAACATGGCTGGATGCAGGCAGATGTCGCGTGCAACGTATAAAACTTCTAGCAAGTTGCAAATGAATGATTCGCCAAACGTCAACACCAAAAACACACTTATGGCCTCATTATCACGCTGAGAGCCAGTCGACAGGTTCCATGCCGAAACCGCTGTACGTCCTCTACCACTCTAGCACAGGACAGGTCCTAACCCTCAATGCTTAGAAAAGTGCGTAAAAGACACGGCAACACAACGACATGGGCACCCGCAGTTGTTTGGCGTGGGGATAAAAGGAAATCTTCTGGACTGGATCCAAGATTTCTTAAACACTCGAAGACAAAATTCGCTGCGGGTGGCTACTGCTCAAAATGGGCACCTGTTAGAAGTGCAGTCCCACAGGGGTCAGTTCTTGAGCGGCTCCTACTCATTATCTATGTAACTGATCTTGTTCGAGATATTTAATCAAACGAAGCGCACATTGCAGACGATCTTAAACTTTCAGAACTGTCTTCCGGTTTTTCTGACGTAGTTGCCTTGTCCGCAACTGCACCAGATCCGATAAACGACTCCAGATGTTTCTAGCCGTGGCAGGGGGTCTTTCGGTTTCATGACCAGACGCCTGATGGTTGCCTCCGGTCTGTGTGCCACTCCAACCCCGGCGATCGTGTCTCTTTCTTCAAGACTACTTCCTGGGACTCGTCTCTTCGCTTCTATTGGCGATGCTCTAACTGTTCCTCTCCACGCGTGACGATCCGCGGCAGCAGATCTGGACAGTTTAACTAATTCTCTTCGCCAACGACAGAGACCCAGTATAGAAGGTCCAAGAACCACCTTCATGCCTTGAGGAACTGTGTCGAGCCATATTTTGAGTTGACGCCCTCTTCGATGACTCCAATGGGGCAATGGTGTCAGATCTAGGGCAGTAACCGTGAGCTCCTCAGGTGGACGACGATGGACATGTCCAAACCGCCTCAGTCGTCTTTCTTGGGTGGTCTGGGTTATCCTTGCTATGTTGTCGCAGCGAGCTCGGACTGTCTAATTTGACACGAAATCAGTGTACTTCAATCGAAGGATGATCCTCAAGCGGTGGTGCTCTATAACCCCCAGTTTCCGCTCGTCCTCCACGCGCACAGCCCAGTATCCACAACCGTAGAGAAGGAGTGCAGGGCTTGACGCGTGAAATATGTCCTACAACAGTAATTATGACTTAGGGTTGAACATGAATGGCTGATTGAAGACGGCCAATATACCAGATTCGGGCATCTCAGCCTCCCACAACTACGTCAGTTCTTGCTCTCTGCGAAAATTCGCATTGCTTCGGAGTTTCACGATAGATTCCACGCGCGGACGCTCGCAGATGGGAGACCAACGGGCGACCCAGTCGCTAACTCCTAAAGCTCGTTTCACCCTGGCGTCCTCGTGGATCCCCTAATGCCACTCGCATGTGACTTTGAATGTTCTCGATGGCAGTCGAAAGGCGTGGGCTCTCAATTATTGGAGTGTTTAATTTGGTACTCAGTAGTCCTCATGACGTCAAGCTCGCTGACGAAAGCAAGCAGATAAATGATCACGCAAGACACCTCAGTCAGTTTCGCCAACATTTCTCAAGGTCCAATTATTTTGATAAATTTCAGCAGGCTTCTCACAGGGAAAATGTTGCTATGCCGGCCAGACACTTCCAAGGTCTTACGCCGTCACACATAGTCGAAAGACACCTATCATGCCTCGGAGACAGGCCAAAGGCGGCGTACTAATTCATTCAGAGGTCAACTGCATCCCAAATGACCGAACATCACTGAGATTCTTAAAGGCAGGGCGATGCTAAGATCGAAGCGGTGGGAGCACTTCTGCATCAAAATATGAACAGCCAAGCGTATGCAGAGGACACGCTGCAAGATATTTCCTAAACGACTTTACTCGGTTGCTCATGCATTTAAGTACAATCCCGAGCTGATGAGGAGGGTTGACCTGCCCGATGCGCAGAACATAGGTAATACGCCGAGCAACGTGAACTTCAAATGTTTGCTTGAACTTCCACACGAGGCATTCCCCATGACTTTAGAAGGGACTCCAACTCGTCACTCCTATGCCATACGCACGACATTATGATTGACCTACCGGAAAAAAGGCAGTAATTAGAGAGTAACCTCGCGGCAAGTCATGGTCAAGGCCCTGTGAAAGACTTCCGTATTCGATCGCAGACAAGCTACGCGAGTCAAAACCTTATCGAGTAGTGGAGACGCACCTGCGACGAAGTTGAGTGGGTGGTGCGGACATTTGCCCTCAAAACGGGCCACGTGTTAGATGCGCTGGACCAACACGGGGGCCACACCGGACTCTGGCAGGCGTTATCTGTGCGCAATAACAAATGCCAACATTTGCGGGGTGCGCTGGCGGACCCTGTTGTCGGCATTCGTCGCACAACTGGCCCACTGCCACCACCCCACTGTTTTGTGGTCAAAATCCTGGTCATTTGTGTGTGGACCAGGGGGTGTGGTGGAACGCCTAGGTGAGGATCCGTCCGAGCCATCCACCTGCGACCTCCCCCGTCTCCGGTCTTCTTGACTCTGTCTTGACACTGGGCCCAGGCGGGGGAGGAGGAGGAGAGAGTGTAGATAGATGCTACGCAAGTCTACTGGCACTATAAACCCCTGCGTAAATCACCGTCCCTGCTCCCACAATGCAGTCTGAGGGGCACACGGTGTTCATCGTCGAAATCGACGGACGAACTGTCGGTGCGGACATCGGCCCTAGCACACTGCGTCAGTTCGATAAGTGTAGGCGGTAAGGGACGCGGCCTCGGCAGACACAGATGTGGAAGACCCGTTAGCCGCCAAGCTTTATGTGGTTGGAATAGTTAGGTCTTCAGACCCCAGGTCGGACGGACGCACTCATCTGCGCATGCCCGTACCCCGTCCCTAGGGTGTGTCCGCGCGCGCCAGCATTTTCATGCATGTCTTTTATCCCCCTCTACAAATGGACAACCGCATCGTTAAGACGTCGACCGATGAGGGGGCAGCCTTTACCAAGCCCCACCAGGTGGTTGGACAGTCGGGGTACTGGCCGGGTACTAACCGACACAACCGTAGTACATGGCTTATAGTGTACTCGCTTGATGGAGTCACATAATTTCCGGACATTCTGTAGGTAAAGCATGGAAGCCTAGAGCTCTGAGCGTGTCGCTGCAGAAAGCTGAGGCCTTTGGTAGCATTATTCCATAAGCCATCTTCAATGCCAATGGTGACCCGATTCCCCAGTGGCGTCTGAACATCAGGCATTTGCAAGCCAGATTGAGGACGATTAAAACACTGTACACTAGGCCGTCTCACGGAATGTGAATAGCTACTTGAATCTAAATATTTTGCCCTTTTCTTATATTAATGCGGTCAAATGTACAATTGAGGACCAGTGAAAACGTGGAAGGCTGAAAAATTGAATGACGCGTGCAGTCGAAACCGTCATGTCAGGAAGTTATCAGCATCTTACTACCAGCTGGTATTTTTTCTAAGTTTGGACGGTCACCTTTTTCTTCGGTGGTTCTATGAACTGAAGCCTTCACTGCTGCTGAGGCTACAGTCTTAAATTTTTTACCTCTGCATTAAGCGGACTTCACGGAACTCCTGCTCAGTCGAGTTCAGGTATCAATAGTCTAGACTGATCTTCACCTTCTTTTAGGAGCGGTCGCACAGAGCCTGTCATCGCTATAGTCATCGGACGAAATAAAACAGTTGAAGCATACATTCTGCAAAAGGTTGGCTCTGCGCAACTGCTTAAGATTCATAGGGATGATGTTTTTGAAGCCAGTCAACAACTCGCCTAGGGAAGAAAAATGAAATAGGACGGAGGGAGGGAGGAGGAGGACGCGAATCCGATAGTCATCTCACCTATCGATCCACGTTACCAAGACAAGATAATGCAAGATAAAGTAACACTTAAAAACCCTTACTGCCTGTTTCGGAAGCTTTCGAGCGACTGACATGCTTAAATGAGTTGTGTTTATTGACTGGAACGCCTGACGGAATGTCTTACATGTCTGTGATCTAATCATATGGGTCGGCAGGCGTGGACAGGTGGATCAAGACAAATTACAACCGGGCAGAACTGATGCGGTCATGTTTCTGAAAGGGTCATTACTTGATTTCTGTATTGCTGACTTCACAGAGCAAAACACAGCATGGTCGAATACAGGCAGCTGTCATGTGCCACGTATACAGTTCTTAGTGAGTTGAGAATAAATCCATCGGAGACCAGCATCTAAAAGTCACCAAGGCGTCATTAGCACGCCCATGGTGGCCTGCACGACAACGTTGCAGTGGCAGGCTGTCCTTATGTGCCGGAACCACTGCGTGCCTTATCCTCCGCCAGTACGCAGCAAAAGACTGGTTTTAGCACTCAAGGCCTGGAAAGGAGATGTCGAAAGCACCCACAGACCACAGATCGAATACAACGACTTGCAGTGCAACAAACCACTAAAGCAACTCTCGGGATTTCCCTACGCGTGAACACAGTGACTTTCATCAATAGTAGTGAAAATGCGATTCCCAGATGACATATCAAAAGAAGAGGGGGCGTTCAACAGGAGGGGTTTATTTGAGGTCGACGTTTCGAGAAATTGGCAGGATCCCTGTTGGTAGCCTTCCCGGCTAATTGCTCTACACATTGCTTACAAAAAATTCGCGTCTAGCACACTTCTGCTTCAGTTTCTAACATACATGTGACCATAGTGTCAATAAATTATTATTTTCGGAAAATCAGGAACGCCCAACCAAATCCGGAGCTAGGATGCATTCATCCCGCAGACCGTACTCAGTATCCACGTTTGTTTTTATATCTTTCTTTCATTTTTCGCCATATTTAATTTTGGCTACGACTTTAGCAGGGGCATCAATTCGGGGCATACACTATAAACATCATTGACGCCTGCACACAAGTGCCCCACCCAAATATCCCCCATTACCACCGGTCCCATGAGATAGGGAGCCGGACGATTTCAGTACTGGGAGTGCTACCAACAGGGAGCCTACCGAGTAGTTTATTCGTCTACCCATCTTCAGAGACTGGGAAGTTCCGTACACAGCTCCTCTTATAATGGCGCCCTTTGTTCAATGCGTGATCCGCCAATGCCGCCTGTGCGGCTGCATCCAACCCGCATGTCACAGTGACCTGAATCGCTCTTGTCGGCCGCGGACATGACTGACGGCCCCGATTGTCCCGCGCCGTGACTGTCCCCCGCTAAGAAGGTTCGTAGAGTCAGATAGGGGGGAGGCGAATTGATGTTGCGGTCGACAGAGCGGTCGATGGACATCCAGGCTTCTTGCACTTGCCTTGCTGTGTGATCGCCGCCCCGGCCCACAATCTCAACGACGTCAAAGTTGAAGGTATGTCCCATTTGCGCGGCATGGGGTGCTACCTCCGACTTTGGGTCCAAACTTCGCAAGGCCAACTTATGCTCTTGCATTTGCGTTTGCAGCCTTCGGCCGGTTTTCCCAACGTAGTTTCACCTTCCGCAGCTGCGTTGAAGTCGGTAGACAACGGCCGTGATCTCCTGCTTAGGGATCTGATCTTTTGGCCGCATCACTTGCAGGCGGATTGTTGAGTCAGGCCTGTGGGCAACACCTATTCCAAGTGGCGCGAGTGATCGAGTCACGGCTTCGGAGACCCCTTTTATATACGGAATGCTCCGCCACGAGTTTGACTGACTATGCTCTTCGTTCCGTTTCTTTGGCTGCCTTCGGCTCCGTTCATTGGATGTCCGCGGATAGCCTTTAGCTCTAAAGAGTTCACGGAGGAGCTTTATCTCGTCCAGTTTGGCGCCTGGCGTGCTGCAATGAGTTTCCCCCCGTCGGAACAGCGTGCGGACACAGCTTCGTTTGTGTTGTAGCGTGTGGTTGCTGTTGTAGCTGAGCATTTGCAGCGTGTTCATCGGTTTTCTGTAGACCAACGTCGCTAGTTCGCCATTTGGTTGGCGGCAGACGAGAACATCCAAGAATGGAAGTTTGTCCCCTACTTCCTCTTCCATCGTGAACTGTAGATCGGGAATGATTGAGTTCAGTACTTCCGCATAGTAGTTGATTTTATCCTAGTTGATGATTACAAAGGTGTCACCAACGTAGCGTGCCTAAAACTTGGGTTTGTACACCTCGAATAGTCGTCTCTCGAGTTTTCGTAGAACCGCCTCGACAATGAGGCCGGAGATTGGTGAACTCATTGGAGTGTCCTTGATCTGCTCGTATGTTCTCCCTCCGAAGGTTAAAAAATGTCTTGAGAGAGTGCCCCATGAGTTCCATGAGATCCTGGGCTGTGGGCTGGCCATCGCCCTCGTCGTAATTTTGACGTAGCAGGTCACTGAGCGTTTCGACCGCAAGGTCCTGTGGTATGGACGTGAAGAGTGAGACGACGTCAAAAGACATCATCCTTTCATTCGGTTCGATCGTGACTGCGCTTATTTTGTCAAGGAAGTGTTCTGCTGGGTGAACCGTTGTTTGTGAGCCTGCAGTTAGGAATCTTAGCTTCTGAAATAGCCAGCTTGCAAGCCCATATGTGGGTGTGCCTCTGAGTGAGACGATAGGACGGAGGAGAACATCTGGCTTGTGTACTTTTGGGAGACCGTAGAATCTCGCCATAGTGGTTTCTGCGGGCTTTGCCATATACCAGTCTTTGACGGTGATAATCTTGTTCTTTTTTAGTTGAGCCAGAATTCTGTTAAACTTTGCCTTTAGGGACTTTAGACTGGTGACGTCGCTGACTTTATAGGACCCCCGATCGTTGAGGAGCAGGAGGGCTATGTGCCGGTAGTCTACCTTGTCGAGGATAACGGTTGACCGGCTCCGTCAGCAGGCAGAATAACTATTTCGGTGTCCGCTTTCAGCTCCCTTAGGGCCTTTCGTTCACATCTTAGCAGGGGATGGGTTCTCCAGTGCGACATGAGAAGTGAGGAGACTTGATGTCGAAGGAGGTCCTTTGCCTAGTCTGTGGCGCCGGTTTGGCGATGCACTGATTCGAAAGAAGCAATGAAGGCGACCGAGTCGGCGTCAGTTGTGTTAGAACCAGATCCACGTTGTAGAACTTTTGTTTCGGTCACAGTAAGTTGTTTTGACGAGAGGTTATGTACTATGGTTTGTTCGGTTTCCTGGGCTTGTGCGGTCTGCGGTGCCTTGAACTTTACCGATAAATCCGCATCTCTGTTAGCACGTTTCTTTCGTTCCAATGCTAGCAATGTGTTCTCCAATGTGGCGGCAGTCGATTCACCACACCGGCGTGTAACAAGCATCCGGAAGTTTTCAGCACTGTGTGCGTATTTCTTTAGTCGCAGGTACCAATCTTGTATGAGTACCCTTGTCATTCGCTAACTATGGCGAACATCGTTTGTTTAGCCAATTTCGTGTTGACTGGAGAGTTGTAGGAGAGGTATTTTGGCATAACAGTTGGCAAGGCATCTGTGAAGGAAATGGAGCTGTGCATAGGTCGAGGCCTGTCGAAGGACAATTTTTTCCCAACAAGGAGCCAGTTGAAGCGCTTCGCGCCCGTAATTCACATCAATAATAGTGAAAATGCGATTCCCAGATGGCATATGAAAAGAAGAGGGGACGCGTTCACCGCGAATGCACGAGCATAAGTTGGCCGTGCGAAGGTTGGACCCAAAGTCGGAGGTAGCACCCCATGCCGCGCAAATGGGACATACCTTCAACTTTGACGTCGTTGAGATTGTGGGCCGGGGCGGCGATCACACAGCAAGGCAAGTGCAAGAAGCCTGGATGTCCATCGACCGCTCTGTCGACCGCAACATCAATTCGCCTCCCCCCTATCTGACTCTACGAACCTTCTTAGCGGGGGACAGTCACGGCGCGGGACAATCGGGGCCGTCAGTCATGTCCGCGGCCGACAAGAGCGATTCAGGTCACTGTGACATGCGGGTTGGATGCAGCCGCACAGGCGGCATTGGCGGATCACGCATTGAACAAAGGGCGCCATTATAAGAGGAGCTGTGTACAGAACTTCCCAGTCTCTGAAGATGGGAAGACGAATAAACTACTCGAAACGCCGGACCTCAAATAAACCCCTCCCGCTGAACGCCGCCTCTTCTTTTGACAGTGACTTTCAATCTGTGATTGCATACCTGGGCGGGCTTTTGAATTTGAGCCGCCATTTTTGTAGCTCTCCATTCGCGTGTGGATTTTTACTTATTGTAAATTATTGTGCCTTTTCTCTTCGATATATTGAATTGTTTTGCATCCTTTGTTTGTCTGAGCTAAGATTATGAGGTCGTCTCTACAGTACGCTAGCACCCTTTTGAACGGAATTAAATTGTCAATTTCACTTACGAACGACCATGATGCAAACTGTTGTACTTTACGACCAATATGTCGTATTTGTGATCGTTCTGTGTTGACTTTATCAAATATTCGTCAACAACGGCCTATGCATCGGAGAAAACACCGTTGTAGCTGGCAATTCGCATTCAAACGTCAGCCGAATCACAAATTGTCAATTCCTGCCTTCTTGTCGACAAACTGTCGTTCTATTTTCAACAAAACCCATGATTTGGAGCTACTTTTGTCGAAAAAAGAACACAGCAAAACTGAAGTTGTTTGCCTTCAAGAGACGTGGCTTAATAGTGACATTGATTCTCAGCTTATTACTCCCCCATCCTTTTACTGCTTTCGAACAGATAGAAAATCTTTATCTTGTGGCAGAGGTGGGGGCGTTGCCATTTTTGTTAATCAAAATTGGTGTAGAGACTGTAAGTCCCTTTTTTCTTACTCTGATGATTTAATAGATGTAATCGCTGTTTTATGTAAGCCCCGTTTGTTAAGTAATTTTAAAGGCATCATATTTGTTAGTATTTACATTCCCCCCTCTTCCTGTGAAGGCGCATTAACCCGTTTTTTCGACTTCCTCTCACAAAACTTGCTATATTATCCTGCGACTATCTTACTCTCTTATGCGGTGATTTTAATCGCGTGAATTTACGTCCCCTTACACTTTTAGGTTTCGATGATCTTGTCTCCTTTAATACTCGCGCAGATGCCCCTCTTGATTATATTCTGACTAACCATAGCAAGCTTTTTTGCGTAAAAAACAGGGCTCCATTGTCAGGTTCTGACCATTCCACTTTATTGTGCCTTCCAAAAATCTATTCCACTTCAAAACGTGCACTGCTTGCCAAGCCTGAGAGAAAGGTTAAGGTTCGTAACACGTCCGCCCAAAACATTCTCATGCTTCAGACTTGCATTTCTCTTACTATCCCCACTTTCCTTGAAAATTCTAATGTTTAATCCTGTTCTTCCAACCTGACAGCGTTTTTAAAGGAAATTTTCGATATTTGCTGCCCTTTTGATACTGTTATGGTACGACCGGATAGAATTTCTTCCCCCTATCTGAAATCGTTAAGACGTAAAAAAGAACTCCTTTACAAGCTAGGCTTACGTGATAACCTTAAGGACGTTACCGTCTTAATAAAAACAGAGATTGACTGACTAAATAGCCTGTTTGTCAGCCAACTTTTTTCCTCTTCTTACTCCCCCCCTTTCCCCCCTTCCTCAGCTGAGATTTGGAAAAATCTTAAGCGTCTCACTTGTCATCGCAACACGCTGGTGCATGTGGATGCAGATTTAGACTCCCTAAATAAAAATTTTATATTTAGTCACAATGACTCCCATCTTCCCTTAGAAGACATTCCCCTATCACCGAGTACATTCCAACCCATGTCTTTGGCAATAGTAGAGAAACACCTTAAAAAGGTCCGTGGATCAACAGCTGCCGGACCGGATGGTGTCTCGCCTTTTCTTCTTAAATCTTGCAGTTCTCAGATAGCCCCTATTTTAACGCACCTAATCAATATGTCTTTCATGGTGTCCAAGATTCCCGACGCCTGGCGTACAGTGAGAATCACTCCCATCCCTAAAAAGCCTGCTAAATTTGGTCCTAAATCTTTTCGCCCAATTGCCTGCTCCTCTGCAATACTAAAGCTTGCTGAAAGAATTGCCATAGATATCATAAAGCCTTTTTCTTCCAGTTTTTCCGACCCCTTACAATTTGCATACAAAGCTAAACGGAGTACTTTAGATGCTGTCGCTCTTGTGGTCCACTCTGCTCTAAAAGAATTAGACAAGGGTTGCCGCGAGTATGCGTGCGCTTTTCTTGATTACTCCTCCGCCTTCAATACCGTCCCGCGTCCTCTTCTCCTTTCCAAAACCTCCGCATGTGGCTCTCCAGGCTGGGTCGTCTCTTGGCTGAGCGATTATTTTAGCTTCCGCACCCAATTTGTCCAATCTGGCAAGCGAAAATCTTCGACCCTTCCCAATGACTGCGGTGTTCTTCAAGGTTCCATTCTATCCCCTCACCTTTTCTCCCTCCACACTGATGATCTCAGGTCCCCTAATGACTGTCTTCTGGTCAAGTATGCTGACGATGTGGTTGTTGGACACCCTCTCAAAAGTCAGACACACCTCCGGTCTCTAAAGGATGGCCTAAACCATTTCCTAGCGTGGTCGGAGGAAAATGGTCTCCTAATTAACAACCAAAAATCCGTTCAGTGTATTTTTCGACTGCGGCCCTCTCCTAACCCTGATTCCTCTGACATTCTTCCTAATGAGGTATCCTCTTTCAGGTATCTCGGCGTTACTTTGTCCTCAAATCTTTCTTTTTCCCTCCATATTGAGTCCCTATTTATTAAAGTTCGTAAACTCCTTTACTACATTCGTCGTTTGCGTTCCTACTACACACCTCAACCCTTAGTCTGGCGATTCATTGATGCCTGCATTCTTCCTCTTATCCTATACTGTTCTCCTGTCGTTTTTCCTGCTTTGTTAAAAAAGGATCTTTTAATTTTGAAACGAATCCTCCGCATGCTCTCTTCTGCTGCTGGCGTTTCTTATATTTTTTTAGTTGACACAATCTTACAACGACACTTCAATGCGGTCAAGCAATTTGCTGGTCGGATTCTAGATGACGTTGCCCATCCCCTAAATTCCGATCTTATGGCTGCCAAGTCTTCCCGCCCGATGCGCCGCAACTTCCGCCTTATACCCTGTCGCACATCGGCTTATCGAGCCTCTGTATTACCATTCCTAGCGCGCTATCTTACGTGCGAAGAGACAGAAATACAGAAGCTCAGACTTGAACTATCCCCATAATAATCTTTTCTTTGACTGTTGAATAATCTCTTAACTTATTTACTACCCACAGTGAATGGAGCCCATTTTTTGCTGAAAATTTTGAACTTACGATTTCAAAATAAAGCGCATTTCCTCCTCCTCCTCCTCCTCCTCCTCCTCCTCCGTATAAGATTGACAGATCTATCGGTGAAGTTGCCTTGTGGGTAAAAGGCATTTTAGGTCTTTTAGGCAATCAAAAGGAATGCTCAAATAAAATACAAGGCGGATAACGTACCCCGATGCTGTTGGGTCGGAATTGGACGCGTGGTGTTGAGTGAAGGCCGTGAATTTAGCGTTCACGTCGCTCCTCCAGGAACTTAAGGTGGGAAGGCGTATGATAAACATGCATGAGTTGTCGATTAAGAAAACGCCTATAGTTTGAACAAGGGATTTACAATAAGATACTTAATTCGAAGTTACCGGAGACTTGTTTTCGGTCACTTACCCTGACTGCGGCAGTTGGTATAGGCATTTCAGATCACAAACGGTCGCTATGCATCTGACTGAATTAAGCTCCAAGAAGCACTAATGAGGAGCTCAAAGGTGCTCCATGGGCATCAACCCAACCAAATGGGAGTAACTAAAGGTAATAAAGTTGAATGATTTCAATAAAGTGACCGTCGGGAAACGCAAACCCTTTGCTGTCAGAAATTTTAAAAATATTATCGAGCACAATTGCTGTCCGTTACCAAATTATTTATTTCCTGCTCTGGGCCCCTGTCCACCTATAATATTATTGACTTGCTCGGTCCCGAATCAGACGACCAAACTTGCGTATGTCATATCATCTGCCCATTTGCCAAGAACCCACTTAGCCTTTTTTTGGAGTGAATCGACAGCAGGGGCCTGAAGTGGTGTGACCGCTCGTGTTTGTCCGTTACTTTTAGCGTAGTTCATACCTTCGTCATACCCATTCCTAAAGACGGCCAAGTTGTCAGTGGACCAGTCGGTGATATTTGGAAATGCCTTATAAAGATGAATACGTCTGAAAGTCTTGTTCAAGCACAGAGACGATATATGTGGGCACACAGCAACCATCCGCTACAAAGGGATTACTATCGCAGGCGTACGTATCAATTTTCGTCTGGGTACGCGATTAAAGAGGTTCACGTCAACTTAAGTGGCATATGTTTGTGACACCTGAATGATTTCTAACTTAACAATTTCATTTATCACGACCACTGAATACAGACCTTTTTGGCTTTTTGATCGATTTTTGGGGCGGGAATGAGATTTACGTCCGACGACAACCAAATGCTGTTCTCGTTGAGTATGTTTCGGTGTGTCAACACCCAGTTATAAGTCGGAAAGACAGAAACGTCCCACAGAAAGGTTGGTTAAAAACTTTTAGAAGGGAGCCCAGATGGGAAGACCTGTTCAGCACGTCCGCTGACAGTCCCCGATGGTCTCGTTCAAGACAAAGATAAGATTGCTGCGCGAACACCAGCAGGCTTGATACCTATTTCGGTGTCATTTGTCCCATACGAAAATTCAGCTGTGTCTATTTGCGAGGCTTGTAAGCATTGTGTCAACAGGCCTTATTTCCAGGCTCTTCAGGCAATGGGTGCGCAGCCCCACTGAACTTCCTTGACTAGCCAAACACTTGAACACAGGGAATATGGGGTCCGTAACAGTTGATCTACTTGTGGATTGTCCAACGCATTCGCGGTTTAGGCAGCTTTCGACGAAGTCCCCGTGTCTTATACGTCGAACCTTGAGTTTGAAGAACAGGCACTCACACATCGTGCAGCGTTTATGCCTTCAGACGTTGCTGCATGCCAACCTGGCAAGGAATTTATCTGGAAAAGGATTTACAGGTTGTAGTGTTGTTATGGCACGACGAATGTTGCCTGCCATTCAGCAAGTCTTCACTCGTCGCAATCATATATGATCTTGGGGCATGACGTTGGGGTGCGTCGGAAGGTAGGTAACTGAAGACGCCTGTCTTTGAACCCAGGTGCTACCGGAAGCCATCCCTCCATCAGAGTGTCCGTACAACCACTATATACCGGGTCACATCTTACCCGAGTTTCCGATGACCCGAATTCTGGCTGTAGTTTGCTGAGGAATAATGCCTCCGGGAGGAATGTAACGACCGATTGTTTTAAACGGACCTTTTTTACTTCCCGCCCTCCCTTTCAGAGTTGGGTCACGTGGATTCAAGCTGACACCTGTCGACGCGCCATCCGCTAAGTCCCGTTTTTCTTCTTATCGTATTCGTAACTCTGGACTGCCCTTCCGTTTTCCGTCCCGTTTATTTAACAGTTAACCAACCTTTTTCCGTATTTTGCATTTTGTCGATCCATAGTATTAAGCTGTATTCCCATATTCGTTTGGTAACCCGTATCTACTATTTTTGTCCTTATAACAGACCGCGTTAATCTTATTTTTCTATCGTTCCGCTCACCTTTTATCAATAAACTTTTATATCCAGTTAATAGTCGCCGTTATGTCTACTGCGCCTCTTTCATTTGTTAGTATGTATGAGGGAGTAATTCAACTTTTAGAGGAGCTTTCCTTGACTACCGATACGAAAGACCACAAACCACCCTATTCAATCTCAGGCCACTTTGAATCTCCCAGAGCCCCTCCCTACTCGGCCGCTACAATCGTGGCAGCTACTTCGCCCACGAACCCTTTCGTTGATCCACCCTTTCCCCACCCTCCAACAGTAGCCGCTCCCACCGACCGTCTATACACATCAGCGCCTAGCCCCCTGTTAGCCCCAGACGCCTGCGAACCCGGGCACAACATTCGCGATTGACTGTGTGACTTGGATGTTTTCCTGACTGACGTCCCACCCCACCAACATACTTGCTTCTTACTACGGTTCCTTTCCCCTTCCGCCAGACGACGCGCTTTCGATGCCGGCCTAACACCACCTACCCCGCTCCCCGTCGCTTGCCGTTGCGTCGCGCAACTGCTCGACACCCCTGACGCGCCTGGCATCGCGGCAGAGCGATTTGCCAAGTTACGCCAGGCCCCCCGGCAATCTGTTGACGACTTTGCAACGGAACTCACCCGACTTGCCTCCGCGGCTTTCCCCAACTTACCACACCCCGATCGGGACGACCTTATCCTCCACCGTTTCATTTCAGGCCTCTTGGATCGCACGATCACCGACTCCTTCTTCCTCCACCCCCCGCGTACTTTGAACAACGCCTTGCGGCAGTGCCGCCTGTATCTTACATATCACCGAATCCACCAACCCCCTCCGAGACCCGCGTTACCCCCAGCCCGACCGGAGCCCCAAGAACCAGATAGACGGAACCCTTTGCCGGTCCGCTTCCCTGATCACAACCCTGGCTGCCAGTACTGCGCGGCTTATGGACCACGAGTTCGCCACTGTGCCCACAACCCACCTTGTGAGTCACCCCATTGACGCTATTTACTTTCATGGTTTGTCTTATGTCCCCGCTTTTACTGTGCAGGTACGTGTGGATAGTCACCCTACTCGGACGTTAGTAGATACGGGCGCAAATGTGTCACTTGTCACCATTCACAAGCTGCCCAATCGCCTACTGCGTCACGTGGACCCACTTCCGGCCCCCGATCCCTCCGCGCCGCCAACGGCACTGCGATACCCGTCTCGGCCACTGTTTCGCTACAACTTATGATCGGAAACACACAGATCTCCCATAGGTTTCTAGTTACCCCTGATGGTCCCTGGCCTCTCGTTCTCGGTCTTGATTTCCTAGACGCCCACGATTGCGTAGTCCATGTTTGCGAACGACAACTCACACTCGGCCGGAACACCACCGCGCCCGCCCCTCCAGCCATTATAGACGACCTCGACATTATGTACAACTCAGTACTTTCCGCCGTAGCGCTAGAGCCCACCCCCTTAGATAAAGTTCTTCCCGCCCCCTCCCTAATCGGTCCGGTCGCGCACGAACAGCTTAAGACCCTCCTGAACTCCTTCCCAGACCTTTTCGCCTGGTCCACCGACAGCATTGGGCGCACCCACTTGATTCAGCACACGATCGACACGGGAGACGCCAAACCCGTGTGGCAACCCCCGCGCCGCATCCCATTGCGCTACCGTGAAGAAGTTAACAAGTTGTTAGATGAACTACTGCAGGCTAAAATAATCCAGCCTTCGTCGTCCCCATGGGCTTCTCCCATCGCCCTCGTCCCCAAGAAGGGTGGATCCGTTCGGCTGTGTTGATTACCGTCGCCTTAACGCAGTGACAGTTCGTGATTCCTTTCCGCTCCCGCGGTTAGACGACACCCTAGACGCCTAAGGAAATGCGGCATGGTTCTCAACACTAGACCTCAAATCCGGTTATTGGCAGGTTGAGATAAAAACCGCATTCACGGTACCCCAAGGTCTGTATGAGTTCCAGACCCTTCCGTTTGGCCTGTGCAATGCAGCCGCCACATTCCAACGTCTTATGTAACGCGTCCTACAACCCCTCATACCGCACAAGTGTCTCGTCTACCTCGATGACATTATAGTGTTTGGGAGGTCTATAGACGAACACAACCACAATTTGCGCGCGGTATTGGAAGCCCTCCGCTCCGCTGGTCTGACCCTTAACCCCACTAAGTGCCTTTTTTTACGCCGTGAGGTAAATTTTTGGGTCACTTAATCTCCCCCGGGCGCATCTCTCCCCTCCCTGACCGCATCCAATGTATCCGCACGTGGCCAACCCCCTCCAACCAAACGGAATTACGCAGTTTCTTGGGGTTAGCGTCATATCACCGCCGTTTTATCCGTGGTTTTGCTCATATTGCCAACCCCCTGCACAAACTCACGGAGAAAGGCAGACCCTTTGCACGTGCTTTCACCGACCTCCGCGCCGCCCTGTGCTCGGCTCCCCTACTTGCCCTCCCAAACGTTGACGAAGACGTACCCCCATTCACATTAGAAACCGATGCCAGTGGGTACGCCATCGGCGCCGTACTCTCCCAAGACGATGCGAATGGAGTAGAACACCCGATCTGCTTCGCAAGCAATACCCTCACTAAACCACAGAGGAATTATTGTACCTTCCGCCGCGAACTCCTGGCGATCGTTGTGTTCCTACGTCAATTCAAGCACCTGCTAGTCAGACGACGTTTCGTTCTCCGCACAGATCACAGAGCCCTGCAGTGGCTGCGGACCTTCAAGGACCCCATGGACCAGCTGGCAAGCTGGCAGGAGTTCCTGCAGGATTTTGACTTTGAATGCCAGTACCGCCCGGGCCACAAGCATGGCAACGCAGATGCCTTTTCCCGCTTTCCCCACGTCACTGACGCAGACCCCGATGTACAGAGAGCCGGCGTTAACGCTATTGTTGTGTCGGAGCCTACACGCCACGAATGGGTAACAGCGCAAACAACGGACCCTGACACGGCCACTATTTACCGCCATATGAGTCTAGGGCTGCCCAAACCTGCCGAGCGGGAAATGAGAGGTGCCAGCCAGAACGCCCGCCTGCTGCTCAACCAATGGCCCTACCTCACCATAGAGAATGACATATTGTTTCTCCGTGACCCCGCTTCCAACCGGCTACAACCCGTCGTTCCTGGATGCTTGGTAGACTCCGTACTGACTGACCTCCACACACAGCTCGGGCACAGCGGCCAACGCCGCACAGAACTCGCTGCCCGCAGCCGTTCCTGGTGGCCTCAACTACGTTCGGCCGTACAACGCTTCTGTCAGTTCTGCGCCAGATGCGCTACATTAAAACCCCCATCCCCCTCACCTCGTGCCGCGCTGCAACCTATGACTACGGGCTTCCCAGGAGAGCGTGTCGGCCTGGACATCGTAGGACCCTTTCCGATAACGGTGCGCGGGTTTGAGTACGTATTAGTCATGGTGGACTATTTCACCAAGTGAGTGGAAGCCGTGCCACTCCTCCGCCAGGACGCGGCATCAGTCGCCAATGCCATTAGCCGCACTTGGATTAGCCGTTGGGGCGCCCCCTTGTCATTCCATTCCGACTGCGGCGCTAATTTTCAGTCCAATCTCCTACAAGACGTCTGCGAGATCCTCGAGATTCGCAAAACCCGAACTACCCGTACCACCCCGAAGGCAACGGCCTTGTAGAAAGGACCAACCGCACGCTGCACGACCTCTTACTGGCATTTTCACGGGACGGGCACGGACACGACTGGGACGCACATTTACCTCAGTGCCTGCTAGCTTATCGCGGAACAGTGCATTCTTCCACGGGGTTCACCCCTCATTACCTCTGGACTGGCTTTGACCTACGCCTCCCAGCCGACCTTCGCTACTCCCTACCCACACCCGACCCGCCAACACTACACGAGTACGCCACTCACCTCCGAGGGGTCATACGCTCAGCTCATAACGCTGCCCGCGTCGCGTTGGGAGTTGCTACCCAGCACCAATAAGAGCAGTTTGACCGCCGCACCGCTGGCACCCCATACCAAGTTGGCGACATGGTGATGCATTACAACCCCGTACCCCCACATGGCAACTCCACTAAACTCCACCACCCATGGCAAGGACCGTTTACCGTACTCGACGTGCTCGCTCCCACCACGTGCCTGTTACGCGACGCCGTTTACCCTGATTTCCCCGCCTTTAAGGCACACTTTTCCAAACTCAAACCTTACCGAGGACGCCTACCCATTTGCACTTCCGATTCCCTACCCGTCATTCCCTTAGACCTAGTTCCCCCGGTAGCCATCGAGGTCTCCGTCCCTTCCCCCATCGACTCCACCAGCATTGAGGACAGTGCTGTACCTTAAGAGGGAAGCATGGTAACGACCGATTGTTTTGAACGGACCTTTTTTACTTCCCGCCCTCCGTTTCAGAGTTGGGTCACGTGGATTCAAGCTGACACCTGTCGACGCGCCATCCGCTAAGTCCCGTTTTTCTTCTTATCGTATTCGTAACTCTGGACTGCCCTTCCGTTTTCCGTCCCGTTTATTTAACAGTTAACCAACCTTTTTCCGTATTTGGCATTTTGTCGATCCATAGTATTAAGCTGTATTCCCATATTCATTTGGTAACCCGTATCTACTATTTTTGTCTTTATAACAGATCGCGTTAATCTTATTTTTCTATCGTTCCGCTCACCTATTATCAATAAACTTTTGTATCCAGTTAATAGTCGCCGTTATGTCTACTCCGCCTCTTTCATTTGCTAGTATGTGTGAGGGAGTAATTCAACTTTTAGATGAGCTTTCCTTGGCTACCGATACGAAAGACCACAAACCACCCTATTCAATCTCAGGCCCCTTTGAATCTCCCACAGCCCCTCCCTACTCGGCCGCTACAGGAATATATGCAGCAGCATACTTGAAAAGCGGTGTGCAGATTGAGAGATTCTTCTAAATACATATGTACTGCGGCATGTGGTTGGGGAAAACGACAAAAAATAAAACATACCTCCACGTAGTTAAATTACTTTAATTACGCAAGCAAATTAGCACAGGGTTTCACATAAGTTGTCGTCGTCGTCTTCAACCCCTTTTGGCAGACTTCAACAGAACTTCCAACAATAAATGGCCTACGTGGAAAGGTTTGAGAATATTGGAAAAGTTTGACTAGAAAAGGTTTACTTAAAAGCCTTCTCCGTGTCAGATGCAGCCCCTATGGTTCGTGTCTGCGGCCAGACACTGCTGACGTTGAATCCGCATTCATTTACAACCGTGACAGCGATGATTACTGCTCCCTGTTGAGAAAAAGACCTTACCGTTTGCAGGATGATACACCGTACTCATACGGACTGGAGTCAGAAGACTGTCTCCTCAAAAGTGAATTGTACTTCGAGAAGGCACAGAATTTTAATTCGAACAATTTAATGCCCAAACAACTGAGAGATTCAGAGTACTCACTTGACATCTGCAGCGCTTCCTCATACATCCCGACATCCGGGATGGTAGGTTAGACGGCAAAAGCAACAAAAGCATCCTTAGATGGTGCTTGTCTCTCGCGACCCCGAAGGCAGACAATAAAGACGGCGAAAACGGAATACCACCGAAGAGGAAGCAGTTTGTCACTGCAAGAAACACCATTATGAAAGGGGTGTAGGCGTTTCCCAGTGATTTTTGTCTAATAGAACAAAAGTTATAAAACAGGTATCAAGTGTTTGTTAGCAACATTTTGGAGCTGAAAGCCGCCTAGACAGTCGGCTTTTGTTACCACGATAAGGTAGAATTTTTGGCATGCATCACGGAGGCTGGGAGTCAGTTGTCCTGCCTGTTCGCTGGGAAACTGGCGTATAACATTACGAATGCGACAATCTACGCAGTGGTCTCCTACCACAAGTGATCCAAGCAGACAGTATGCACTTGGTTTCTGGTCTAACAAAATCTGACCAGTGGCACAGTGGCACGGTTCCTAAAGCGAATAAAGGATTTTGATAAATTAAGGCAAATAAGATGACTGCTTTTTCACATGTTTTCTCTCTCTGTGGTCTCAAAGAAGTCGGTGTTCTCTGTGACGCCAGTCCTATTCTGCGGAAATACTAGGGTGAAAATAACCGCAAAATCCAAAGCGAAAATCTGCTGGTACTCTGGATCTTATTCCCTCTCATCTTTCTCTTGTTCGTTATTCCAACTATACGGTCGCTCGACAGCTGTGGCAGTCTGGATATCTATCGTTGGTAACTGGGAGTCAATGTAGGAAACACATGTGTAACGTCAGGGGCACACATACAGTTCGACCGTTGTTGCCGATGAGGTCCACCGTGTGCTCCACAGCAGGGAGAAAGCAGACACGGTGACTTGTGCGTGAATTAGTTTATAGTGGTAGCAGACTTTCACGGCATCTGCCACACACTCTCCTGCTCCCCCACCTTGGCCCGATGTTAAAACAGTCAAGAAGACCGAAGGTGGGAGAGGGCGCAGGTGGACGGCACGGTCGGACCCGCACCTAGGCGTAACACCACACCCTTGGTCCACTACAGACACTTAACTAAGATCAGAAGAAGAAGCGATCGCTGGAACAATGGCTTTATTCGCCATTGTTCCAGCGATCGCTTCTTCTTCTGATCAACTATTTCCTGGAACTCGCATTTTCGCTTATATCGACTTAACTAAGGCTTTAACCAATATTAAAAATTGGGACTGGCGCAAAGTGAGCCGGAAACTGGACCTTCCACTACACCCGGAATGTTGCCATTTGTTCTGGTGCGCATTCCGAATCTGATATAATTGCTACCTTAGTTCAGCGTACCAGCACGCATACGTCCCGTGGAAATCACCATTACAGCCGATATATGGATTTAGAATACACGACACCCACCATTCTGTATGGAGAGCGGCCGCAACCACCATGTCAAATTACTTGTGGTGAAACAGCCCACGTTTCGATGACAAGAAAAAGTCAAGACGACCGGAAATATGTCTGAACGCAGTGGATAAAAAAGGTCAAATGGGCTTATTTGCACCTGTCACACACGGCCTGGTTTATGAACCCAGAACTACCAGGATTCATTGACGCGAGCTTGACTTTCGCATAAATGAGTCATCAAGACTACATTCGGTAGGAATGAGCGCTAGTTTCACCGCCAAACTGGAGGACCATCAGGTTATTCTGTTATTCGGCAATCTTCCCTGTCATGGGTACCAACGTCTCCTGATATTTACAAGCATGTCTGATTTTTCTTAGTGAGAATTGAGCTCAATTTTCATGCGGAAAACTGCCTAGGTAACGATTTGAGTCATCCTCCACTCTGCCATACAACAGTGATCCGTCTGACCAGGCCCAATGGCTGACGTGCCACGAACCACCGTCTAAATTTTGTCACACGCATCCAAAGAAACATTTGAATACTCAAAAAAGCCCCGAGCAAACCGAAACCGGTCACTTGGGCGCTCGTTTTGATCTGGAATAAGGGCGGGCGAAATCCGTGTAACTGGCTAATTTCAGTCATACAACAGCTCGACCGTCTTTTTCCTCCGATGTCCACCGTGTGCTCCACAGCAAGCGGAGATCAGGACGGCGACTTGTGCGTGATCCAGTTTATACTCGATGTGGACTTTCACAGCATCCATCGCACTCTCCCCTCCTTCCCACCTTGACCCGGTGATAACAAAAAGTCAAGAAGATCGGAGGCGGGGAGGACGTTGTTTATGGAACGGTCGAGCCCGCACCTTGGCGTTACACTCCACACATCCTGGTCCACACAGCAAATAACCAGGTTTTTTACCAACAAAAGGACGGCTGGCGCGGCCGGAGCCGCATCTAACACGACATCAAAAATCAGGCCAGCTTAACCCCTTTGCTAACGGAGTCGCACTAAAGAGATGAACCCTGAGCACAGTCAGATCCCGAAAACAGACAAAAAGTAGGGGGATCACATGACAGAGAAAAAGCGTATCCTACAGTAAAGTACTTCTCACTCCTGACGAGCTGTTTGGCAGGTGGTTTCAATTTTCAACCAGCAGTGTGTCCCACGCAAGCTCAGAATATTTACGTTTTTAAGAGTCTAAATGTATTTTGTGGGAAACATACACAAAATATGCTTCCTTTTATTCATTTGGTAGCAAATCGCATCGTCTTCACACTTTATACTCGAAGAAAACAGCGGCGTCAACTTCTACGCGCATATTAACATGGAACGGTCTACATTCAGTCAGTCATAACCAGGATAGATACACATGCAGACGAAGTTGCGATATAATCTGGATCGCATCATAACAGCCGCTGAACACCAATATAATTTTCAGTCAACTTGACTGAAGCCACTGGTGTGTATGGGGAGGTGAGGCGTAGAGGGCAAGTGACTCAAGATTTTAGTTCCTCATTATAAGGCACTTTCAAAGCATCACTGTTCGCTGACAGCCGGGGTTGCCGGCTGTCTACTGGAGAGTTACTTCTGTCGCACTCGGGAGTGGGGGGAAAACTGCCATGGAATCTTA